CAAGTGACATGAACAGTCAGGCAGTACACAGTCCAAGCTGAACTACTATAGTCACATCATCACCTTCAAAATGTCTCTATTTGAGTAAAATCTAATGAAAAATAGAGCCCATCTATACATCTTGTAGTATGTTCTCAAGCAAGTCACACTGTATCACATAAAATACAGAAGTATATCAAAAGGTTCATCAGTCAGACTGGCACTTCTTCAGTGGAGAAACAACAAAACCAGCATTCACTATTAGCTAGGAGCAATCTGGAATTCAGACACACTCTTGGATTTCTCCTCAACTCACGGATTCACAAAGAAGAGATTTGCTAACAAATGCAACTATAGAACATTAATTCACATACAACAGCCCTCAGGGTTTCATATTCATCATCACACCTGAGTATGGCAGCTTTGGGCTCAAAAACCTTTCTCTGGAACCTGATTCTGCATCATCTGTCATGAACCCAGGCTGCTGAATGCCTGTGAGTATATTCCATTCTTCATAAACTTCCTATAAGGTCCTTAACAGAGTTCAAAACCCATCTTTGAAGGACCTTACAGCCAACCTAAATCTTGAAGTGCACCATCAGTGACTATGCTCATTGAATAAGCTGGAACTCTACAGCTGTTAGGAAAGGAAGCAGAAATGTCCTGAGGAACCACTGCAAATTTTTTAATAAACTCTGATCCACTCAGCTGTTTGATGAAAGTTATATAAAACTCCGTTCACAATCCAGCATTGTACAAAACAATGTGAAAGAAGGCATTAAAATAAATAGCTAGAAATTAAAGCAGCTGCTCCCAGACAATGGTTTGCAACTCAGAGGGAGTCATGAACTCTCAACAAAACTTCATCACACAAATCAGTTTGGATGCCTGAAGTGGGGCCCTGCAGAAAACTTAAGACCATGTGGTAAATTCTAGATCTTTACTTCTGAGCTTTAGACTTCAGACCATCCAAGTCAGCTAAATTCAGTAAGTACTTGTAATTTTTCAGACTTCTGCTTAATTTTATCAGAAAAATAATACTAAAAATCATCATTCTGTTTCCAGTCAGAGATTTAAAAGTTTCACTCCAAATCTGTACCATGCCAACCACACATATCAACAGACATACACAAAATGAAAGGATTTTCTTTCATAAAATTCACAGCCTTGAGGTTTACAAACCAATAAATGGAATGAAAGAAATAAAATAGTTAATCTCTCCATTAAAGGAGCTTTACAAATTCCACTAAAAAACCCAAACGGCTTGAACTGCAAGGTGGCTGTTCTTAAAACAGAAAATGAGTGTGGAAGTTTTTATTAAAATTATCTAGCCCTAAAATTAACTACAATTTTTGCATTTTCCTATCTTCCATTTTGCCATCCATCTTCTGTTGTGTTCATATGTTACAGCCTTAAAACTAAACAACTGTAGGTAAAACATGTTTGTTAACCACAGAGAATCAGTCTGAACTAAAAAATGAAAACCAAAAGTTTCCAGAATTTAATACATTTTTCTTTTGAAAATAAGTCTTCTTAAAACTACATCTGTACTTCAGGAGTTTCTGATAAATATTAAATCTGCTGCTAGTCATTGCAATAGATTAAAATAGCGCAAGACAATAAAATAATTAAATATTTAAAAGCAGAACAACTTAATTGCTCACAGAACCAGAGGGAAACAGATGATACAGAAGATACACCACAAAAAAAACCCCAAAACAACCCAAAACAAAACATTTGGCATTTTTTACAATGGAAAAAATATATACTTGTCTCCAAAAGTCAGTATTTTTTGTTCATGATACTTCTGCCTTAATTGCTATTGTTCTTAATTCAACTAGGAGATTTAGAAACACTCCTGCGTTTCAACCACTTCATTCGAACTTCAGAAACCAACGAGATGTTTCTGTTCCTCCTTCTAATCTATGAATAAAAATTAAGTCAAAAGAATGAGACCTCCCAATGTCATGATTAATTTAATGAGACTAGATCTGGTTGGGCTTTTTGTACTGTGGTTTCAGCTAATTACTTTATCTGAAGTAAATTTCCTTAATGCATATGTTTATAAGGGTTCAAAATACACTAAAGGGCAGCTGAAGCTTGCTCTGGTGAAAAGTGCAAACTGGCATCAATAAAGAGCAATGGAAAGACAAGGATACTGCTGTCATAGGTGACATTACATGAAGTGGTGATACATAAAGTGGATTGCTGTGGTCTAACTGGCTTTTTCTGACCCTGATCTAAACTGTTTACCCAACTAGATATTCACCCTTATAAGCAAAAGTCTTACAGAATTTGAAAGTCTGGCTTCACATGCCAAAAAACTTACTAGCTTACACTGAGCAAAACAAGGGGTGAGGAGCTGTTCTTGTCAAATCATTACTTCCAGAAAGGGAGTGATGCTTTCCAAATGTTATATGAGTAATTATCTGAAATTTTAATGCCAGCTTCCTATATTTTAGCCTGCTCTTGTTACTAGGCATAACCCACAAGTAAGTTAAGTTTAGAAATAACTAATCACCTATAAGGCATTTTTATTTTCCTCGGTAGGTAAAATGGATCGTATGGTGAACATCGGAGCTTGGTGTGACCCACTGCCAACTAAAAGATAGAGAGACTTTTCAAAAACAACAAAACAAACAAACCCTAGTTCTAAAATTAGTTTAAACAATGAAGCTAACAAGCAGAAGAATAGGTATTAGTGATGTCTCAGCATCTCCTTCTGAAAATGCATTTACTTCCAGGGAAATAAACATATTGCAGAAAGACATAAAGCCAAACTAAAAATCCCCCAGCAAATGCAGGCAGACATCTGGTGCCTGGAAACCTTGTGATCCCCCATCCCTCAAATTATTAGTACAAGAGTTGGCAAAATTTCATAGCCAGGAAACTATGGTTAGAAAGCAGGCTCTGCCAAAGTCATTTGCAGGTTCAAACATTCTTTTGCCAGCTAATCTAGTGACAGCTTGTAGCAGCAACAGCTTAAAAGCTACGCAGGGCTCCTGCCAACATCTTGAGCTCTTGCTGTAGAGGTCTGTTCTCAGAAAGGCAGGCTTAGCTAAGCAACGAGACAGTCACTCATCAGTTTAGCATCAATCAAGCTCAACTTCCAGATAAGTTTCTCAGACCCACTCTTGTCCTAATGCCAGTCATTACCCTCTCTTTGGTCCAGATAAACCTTTAAAGAATCATTTTACAGTTAGAAATAGCACAAGAAAAAGAAAACTTCTGGATAACAGAAAACAGACATGGGAACCATTTTCCTGTTTTGCCTTTTCCTTACAAAATGACAGCTTCCAGCTCAGCTCGCTCTGCATCTGCAGAGCATTCCTCCACCTAAGACTCCTCCTCTGAAACACTTAGCACTAGCTATTATTTTCTGCATATGAATGACACAAGAAAGCAAAGACCCTTTTCCACTCTTAGCCTGTTACATGATTATTTTCTAGGAGTATCAACTTTGTTAATTTTTCCTTTCTGTAAAATTTACCAAATCACAACAAAATAGAAGTAACTTTAAGATCAAAACTGCATTATTTTTCCTGAGAAGATACAAACCAATTTTATTTTAATTTTATCTCACAATGTTTCCAGTAACATGGGAAGAAACAATCTCAGCACTATGGGAGACTTCCTACCCCTAATACTTTGGTAAAGCTTCCCTGAGTAGGTTTTT